GGTGCTTCTTTGGTTCCACGGCCTGTGACAATCCTCAGAATAAGATGTGCAAAATAATTACAGCTTACTAACACAAATATGAAACTCACGGTTGTGGTGAGACTGTGGCTTTGTTCCACGAACCAAATGACCCTGATCATGTGCAGGATTCCAATGAGCGCAGACGAGGCAGCTTCGGAAATCTTGAATCCTTCTTTAATTAAATCAAAACTATGTATCAAAAACAAAAGTGAAGTAAAACATTGGGAAAGAATTCCGAAGTGGACCATAGGGGGTGTCTTTGAAAGTTCGGTTTTTGGACTTTTCGCACCATTTCCAAAATTTTAAGGACGTTTAAAGCAAGAAATATGGTTGATCAATTCCATAGTACTAACTGCTTTATACGACAAATGAATTGCTGCGAAATTTTTGTTTGATTCCTCATAGTAGTAGACCATTTGGCATTGTAGCACATGTGAGTGCTTTAGTCCGATTCCTAGCATTTAAGTAACTGGTAATATTAAATGTTTGGTCCTCGTTCCAAAGCTACTAAGGTTGGGAATGACTATTATTTTCCCAATATTTCCTCTACCCAACTATGTTATTTTCACGAAACTGCCACTGCATGTTCTCGATATACAGGGTGACCCAGAAGTAATTGGGCAGTTAGTGGTACAATCAGCAGTCACTACAATTTTTACTTGCAACCTTTATGATTAGTGATTATGAAATTAAAATAAAAATCAAATAATAATAAAAATAATAATAATAAAAATAGTACAATTATAAAATAATAAATTGATAATAAAATTGTAGTGACTGCTGATCGTACCACTAACTGCCCTATTACTTCTGAGCCACCCTGTATGTAGCTCATGCTGGTGGTAGGATGGAAAACAAACCCTGGTGCCTATATTCCACATCGTACAGGTCACATATGATTTCTCTTCCTGTGATTCATTATTTTTAGGCTAGTCCCCTCCAACATATAGCTTTGTTCAGATTCCTCCGAATGAATGGCAGATGACTTAATTGGTATCAAAAAGAGATATCCGATGGCATCCACATTTTCTTTTAGTATTCCCCAGAGAATAAGTAAGGAGAGATGAGGGTCTGTCTACGATGTCGGACGTGACATCCGGAGTAATATATTCCTTTAGTACACAAAATGAATTTAACTATATTATAGGTGACAAATCAACATATGAAGACTGAAAAATTTTGTTTTGGGTAGTGACTGAAAATTCCATAATCCAAAGTCTTACAAACGCTCTTTTGTCAGTGGTGTACCTATGAGAAAAGAAAAGTATCAGATGTGACATTGCGAACCCTCAAGTTGAAGTCACTTGCACTCGTATTCGGTATTTTTACAATATCGCTTCACCCCTGGCTTCGGTACTTTATAGGGAATTTATTTTGATCTTTGAGGGTTTTAATATTATTTGTGACACTGCATTACTTGTGCAAACATAAATATGGCAATTTTCGAACTTTTAGTCTCCTTTTGAAAGAAATATTGGTCTCCCCTGTTGTATTTCACACCATGGAAATCCCGCTATTCTCTTTTCACATTGCAAGCAACCCTTGAAAAAGGACATTCTTCACCCTTTGTCAAATATGGGGAGGACCACTGTAGGTTAGGTTAGGTTAGGTTACATTTGTATTTTATTTTCTTAAATTCTTCATCCTGTTCTGTCCTACTGGAGAGACACTCTTATCATTGGTTCGGTGTCAATTCGGTTAGGAATCGGTCGATTATTTTCCTACCCAATATAATGAAGTCAATGGGGTGGGAATTTTTCAGGTGATATTAAGTCATATTGAAGAGAACAAGTTATAATTATCACGTGATAGTCCATGTAAGAATGATGAATTCTGGAAATACCAGCAAACAATGCTACGAAGGATAAGTAACAGTCAGCGACGGTTGCAGCGATGAAGAAAGCGACGGATAGGAGTTTCTGCCAGCATGTCAGTGCCTCCAGATGACCAAGTCCATTAGAAACTTCTCTGTATTTCAAACGCAGTGCTTCCAATTCTTCACTAATATCAGCTTCTTCGAGCCATTCTGTACAATGCAATGCATATTCAATTCATCACTAGGAGAGAGTGGGGATGATTTTCAGTTAATATTCATGACACCAAAATTTCCTTTAAAAAAATTATTTCAGAACGAATTTATGTGTCATAGCAGCAAATGCATTTTTTTATTATTAATTTCCGTAGAGGCATGTAACATACAGTTTAAGGATATATCCGTTCAACTAGTAATTTTTGCGTAGGACTTTACGGATGAATATCGACTGTTTTACCTCGAATGTTTCCCTCCTGGTGACAATATTCCTTGGAGACACACCCTCTGTTCTTCAAGAGTGTCAATGTGTCTTGAGAGATCGTGGCGAGGACATTCTTGAAGAACTGCATGAAGAAGATGCTGAAACACAACCCACTCATGCTGATCCAGGTGCAGCAGAAAACATCACATGTAATTATAATGTCATGGAGATGAACATTAACGATAGGATCGGCATCACGAACGGCACTCGGGCCGAGTCTGATGATGAGCATGGACGTTGCCGTGCCGAGGATCACCAAGATTACGCTCCATACTGTCACATGTGACGTATCTCGTTCCCAGTCTTTTATTTCAATACGCCCCCAAGCTCGCTGATTCTGTAAAATGGAAAAGCCCTATTTCATGCATTCTGAATGATTCGTAAGGGTATGTTTGGTTTGAGTCCCTCACAATCGACACAGCTCAAGTTAGCAATGCATAGATGACCAAATTGAAATCACAAGAATTTAAAGTAAATTCAATTTTAAAAAAAATATATATATAGAATACCAATCCAGGTACGGAACTGCCATTCCAATGGTCACAAAACCTTTCGAATTGTTCTTCGACATCTTCTAACCAGCCAACTTTCAAAGAAATAATAACTGTCATTGGTACTGCGTAGGCCTACCGGTATATTAAAAGCTCCAGACAAATTGTATTTTCGATGGTCCGCGCCTTAGAGAAAGATTTGATGAGGTTTTACAACGTGGCCTTGTTCCTTGTTTCGGGGCCAAGGAGCTTCGAGGATGGATTCATGTAGCATGGCGCATGTGTGCTCTATCGGTGAAAAGTCCGATGATGCACCAGGCCTGATTCCTTTTGACCAGACGTTCTAAACTTGCTCTCTGGAAAGTGACCTTTGGATTTGGATACACATTACGATCCTTCAGGGTGTCAAAGTAGACAGGAAGTCTGGACTACAATCTATTTTAGTTGGAATTTTAGGAATTTAGTTGCAATGAAATGTTACACAATTCTTTTGACATAAAAGTTGGCTCTAACTTTGTTTAGCTATAAGAAAGCGCCAATTGGTTTCATGCATGTTATACCTTCATGAAGACCCACATCTTGAGGAATTCGGAGGTTCGGGGCAACCACGAAATCCAAATGAGCGTGTTCGTGACGAAGTTGTCGAGCGCGAGAAGACATACGGTAAGGGCGTCGGCGTCGAACACAGGCCGACTGAGGGCCTCCAGCAGGCTTGGGATGTAAGCCAGAAACGACACAATGTAGATGACCGAGAAGAACACCACGAGGGCACACACATAAAGAATGTCCCATTTCTTCCACAGCTTCATCTTCTGAGAAGGAAATTGGAGCGAATCATCTGCGAGATGTCGACGCAAGCTCCATGGTAACATTCCAGAGATGCAATATAAATACACGATCACCTTGCTTTTTTTCACCATTTCTGGATACCGGAAAGGAGGTTCTTCTGGGGTTATTTGGACGACAAAATTGTCCTGCTTCTTCATCCTCTCTACTCTTGCTTGAACACTGGCTGGCACAGTACGAGGTCTGAGGTACGAGGTCATGGTTCGGGTGGAAGAGACCCATGCTCGTATGTGAAATGCATTAGACTTAATGGACACTGTGTACACTAATGAGTTGGACGTCATAAGTCTTCCAGGAGAATTAAGGTAAAAGTTGACGTTTCTTGTTTAGTCATGCATGGGAAATGCCAACGTCGTTTATCTTAAATTTCCTCATGTCTCATTTCTACTCTCAATCATCACTAATTATCCTGCAAGTACCCGTCGTTGTGGCATCTCTCTGGATTATTCTTCACCATAAGTCATCTCTAGCATGAAATATATGCTTCTTCATTATTGAACTCTTGAGCATACCCCATTCCCAAATATATTAATAATATATTTGGAATACTCTCAGGCATATCCTCCTATGTATAACCTCTCACGTATATGAAAATACTGAAGAAATGAAAATCTCGCAAAGAATCACAAGTCGATGAGGGGGAAGAGTCAATACTTGAGAAAATCGATCAGCTTCTCTGAGGGTACAATGAATTACGTAAGTTTTCATTTTTTCCGGGAGCATTCTCATCATCATGGAGGACGACTCGTAAATTTTGCGTGTTCTGGTGCAATTAAATTCAGTAGCTTATTGCCATGAAGGTTAGAAGTCAAACGGCATAGCATATTTATTTTAAAACATTCCCTAACGTCTTTCTCTTCTCCTCCTTATAATAAATCTTACACAAAGGCCCAGTTTGCTTCAGGCTAATTACTTTTCCCGGACATTTCGGACGATGCGATTTTAATCAAGAACCCACTTTCGGGAGAACTAGAACCGAAGCCGAACTTACTTAAAATGGCTCCTTCCCGCCTCGAGTTCGCATCAACTCCGCTCAAAATTGCGTATTTTGCAGAGATATGACGAAGCATCTCGCCGATCCTCCCGCCCCGAGAGCGCAGCCCGAACTGGGATGGAAGCGTGGATCCACCCGAACCTCTAGGATGGAGGATGGAGGAAGGGGGGGGGGGGGGGGTGATTGCTATCGCGAATCGCGATACGCACGTCATCTTGCCCTTTCCTGGGATCATTGATATTTGGATGCCTCGTTGACAGCCGTGACGCGGGAGCCTTCGACTCTTCGACGTCGCACTGCGAAGGCACTTCCGTCAAAGCCTTGCATTTCTTCTCGGAATTCCTCGATTGCCAAATGCTGTAAATGGGAATTCATGTATCTACATCTATCCCCGCCCTGCGTTTGCCATCGTTTCCCTGCCCTCTGCTGCTTGCACAAGTATTTGCGCACCGATTCCTTGCATCGACAGAGATGATGAATTCGATGGGTTCTTGGACCTATGAAGAGGCGATTCAATAAATATATGTATGAGTAAATATATATATATATATATATATATATAGAGGGGAAGTCGGCCTGCTCCGAAAAGTTCCTTCTACCGTGACTGTACAGTATGGCGCCCATCACCTCTCTTTGCGACGTGGGTTCCTTGCACTCGCCGTATCGCGGGTTTGTAAGGGATTACGAGGGCAAACAGATAAAGAAATACGGATTGATCCCGTTCGTGCAGGCTAGGCCAAGACGCGGAGCCGTGGGTCGGGGGGGGGACTGAGCGGGAGACTGAGCGGGAGACTGGAGGGAAGGTGCTGGGTCTGGAGGCTCCTGGTCGTGCTGGTTCAGTTGGGCCTGGGGGTGTTGAGGAGGGCCAGGATCTGCTCCAGGAGGAAGGCGTTGCCGACTTTCGTTCAGAATAAGCACGAAATTCCTAGTGAGTCGGTTTTGTGGGTAGGGTGGGTTCTCTGTATTCGACCCTAGTCCTGTTTTCATCACATTTTGCAGAGAAAATTGAGGACCTCGAGAGCTATACGTTTACCCCTTTCAAGTTTGAGGAAGTTCCCACGCGTGGAGGTGAGTTCGAGGCCTATCATTGCTCAAATACCAGAAGTGGTTTTTGTGACTATTCTTTTAAAATATTTTATCGGGATTCTGAACCGACATTTCATTTGCAGCTCGTCCCCATGCAAGGAGTGGGCACCGCGTGGTCTGCAGTGAGACTGCCATCTATTCCTTTGGGGGCTACAACCCCGAGACCACAGGCCCCCACCGGGAGAGTCGCTTCTTCCCGCTCTTCCAGGAGGTCTGTCATTGTCGATTCGCTCCGGTTTCCTGCCTTTTTTTTTGCTTGAATGCCATGGAGTTTGTTAAAGCAGGTGTAGTTTCAGCTTCCATCAAATGAGTGGTGCACAGACAGACAGACTCAGCCAGTATAAGCCTTATGAAATTAGATGAGGCTGTAAAACTTGTAGCACATTTTGACCCTTCGGATTTATGAGTTTATCACTCTATGTGGAAACGATTGTGAATGTACTTCGTAGAACATGAGCAGCGGACATAGATGATGATTCAGATCTTAAAATTTGGAGCTGTTTGTTGAGGGTACTTCAAATTTCAGGATTGGAAAAATTCATCTGGAGAATAGAAAACTTGAAAGGATGAGCAAGTGAGCATGATTTCAAGAATGGCATATGGTTGAATGGAAGGAATTTAGCATATTGGGACCTCCTTACAGTCCATGAAATTTTGCCTTCCTTTCATTAACATCTGGTGTCGAAGTTGGCTTTGGGCAAATTTGTCACACATTGGGATATTTTTGACATACTAGAAGCACACTTGCCCCTTATGCAGGTGATTTTTGTTTCAGCTTTGGAAGCTGAATTTTGCAACAGGGAGATGGAAGCAGTTGCCTCTGAGGGGAGACTGCCCGGATAAGCTTGCCTCCCACTGCGCCAATCGATATGATCAGTATTTGCTCGTTTACGGGGGGACTTCCGTCCCGTTTGGGCACGAATCCAGCAATGAGCTCCTCTTCTGTGATCTCAACAGCCTGGAGTGGCACGTCTTCCCAACCCAGGGGGTACACCCACAAAGAATGTATGGACAGGTAGGGAGTTATATTGACTTGTTTAGTTGACTTGAATTTAATTGACATTTCCTTCTCATTGCTCCCATTGTTTTTATGACCGACATCTCCACAGGGGCTCGTGAGGAATGGGATGGATGTGTACATCATCGGAGGCACGACGGGTCATCAATACTGCAGTGACGTTCATCACTTGGATCTGAAGACCGGAACGTGGACTTCGCTTCCGTTCACCAACTATCCTGAGCCCAGGTCAATTACCCATTATCCATCAATTCACATGAAATATTTACATGTCATCTTGATCACCTCACAAGATGCATTGGCCTGTTAGACGTTGAAAGAATTCATATCTTGATATCCAAGCTTTGGCCTATTTCTATGCATCCCAGTTGAAAAGGTATTAATCAACTTCAGCCTACTGAATACTAGGCCTATGTATTTATTGAATATGGTTAGGTGTTAATTACATTTCAGGAATATTTGGAAGATAAAATACTCCAGTTTTGGGAATGCATGCTTGTATTTCATCACAATTTCCTGTATTATCTGATTTTCTAATGCAACCATATTTATTTTGTTGCAGTAAAGCTTGGTGCATTTATTGCCCTTGTTTAAGTACTTGGACTTATTTTAACATTTCTGAGTGTATCTTTAGTTGCTCAGTCACACAGTGAAAGATAGTAATTTTTTTTTATGGCATTACTGCCTAGTACAAGGTTCACCCCATAAATAATTTCCCTTCGCCATGAAATAACTATTTTAAAGTTTTTAAGCTCAGTTCTGTGCATCAACCAAAATTGTGTCATTCTGTCACACAATAGAATGCAACAAAACTGCTCTTCTATTCTTGATTGAAACATGCAGAAGGAATTGTTTTACTGCAATGCAGACTTATGAGTATATCATCACTGCATGGCCACATACTGTCACACTTTGCTGAGTGCAGCAGATTCATTCTGAGTTGAATTCTGGCATGGAGAATAAGGAAGAGGGTGACCGTGAATGTCACGCACCAAGGAGAACATCATAAAAGTCCATAAATGCATTGCTGAGTATCCATGTAGCTCTTTGGAGTCCATCAAGATGAAAACTGGCATACCTGCTATAATGGTTCTCTGAATTTTACTAGAATATCTTGCACTATAGTGGAAGCTCACTCACTGGCTTCCACACAAGCTTTCCGACGAGCAAAGGGCTCAGCATGTGACAATGTCCAGAACCATGCTGCAGATTCTCAAGAGGCGTCATTCAATGAATCATGTTGTTGTGGTTGATGAGAAGATGGTCTCCCACTCTCCAGTGAACAACAAGAAGATCAATGCTGGATGGGTTCTTCCAGATGGTGATCAACCAGTGCATGTGGAAAAGGGAGAATCCATCAATACCAGCACCTACATTCATTTCCTACAGAGTCTTTCATAATTTCAGCAAGCATCATGATCCTCTCAAATCTGAGGACATTTTGCTCATTCATGATAATGCTCATGTGCATGTCAGTTGGGCTTTTCGTCATTTTTTGAAATCCCTTTGTCATTCACCAGACACCAATGCTCTCAACAGATTTGCTTTCAGAGCTGTTGAAGAGAAGTGCCACTGACACAGTTTCTCTTGTTCTGGGACATGGAAGATCATGTGACATATGTGGTAAAGTAATTTTCTTCGAGTCACCCTCAAAGCAAGTCCCATGCGTTGTTGTAGGATTTACAGGAATCATTCATAGAGGGAGTGACTATCTGTAATGTGTTATGGTTACATGGAAATATATAATCTCCCTTTCACCAAAAAAAACTGAAGTGAAATTATTTATGGGGTGTACCTTGTTCATATTCATAGTTTATAAAAGGTATTTCTGATGTAACTCTGTTAAAAGTTCTTTTTCTAAGATAGGTTGGTCATCATAAATAGCATGAGTCTGAAATGACCTGAGTCATGACTGCACCCATTTTATGGAGGAAACAGCTAAATTCATCTAAATTTCAGACCAAGGGTATTCCTTTGTCTAGTACACTCTGTGAAATCCTGTACTTCAACTTCATAATGTTCACACTATTTTCTGATGAGGACTGAACCTCCACTCCCGCATTCAACACTGAATGTCCTGCCTGACATAACGGCAAGCAGGATGAATACCCTTCAGTAGACCTTGTTGCCCGCACATAGACGAGATACATAGAAGAAATAATGCCTATCATCTCCCCTGCACTATCACATTTATTTCATCTGAGATTGGGAGGGGGTGATATACGATGCCTGCCTATATAAGCTTAAGCATGTTCATGCAGCATCAGAAGTGGGATTTTCATAGTTCCAAATCACTGAAGAATGGCAGTCCATGATCCAGATATGGCCAGATAAGTGAGTAGAGTAGTATTCACTTTTGGGATACTTCCACCATTTCTCATTCCTGGATGGGAATCATGGCCATACATGGTCCCCATACACTGAGCATTGTTCTGGTCGAAAAACTTCCTAGAGGAAGTCTTCCAGAGAGCTAAGATTCAGTGGGTCTATATGTACCTGCCTGCTGTTACATCAGGCTGTGCATTCCATGTGGGAGTCTGTGAGAACAGCACTCACTTCTAAGGTGAATGTCATAGGTAGTTGTATGCACACGTACGACACCTACAACTGACTAACATTACCTCTAGCAGTGTGCATGGTACAAAACAAGGTCTGCACAAGATGAAGGAATACCCAGACCAAGTATACTGTATTGCACAATTGGTAGCAATGTTGGAAAATGTTGATTCATTTTCTCAAGAGTCGGTCATAGGATAAATTGTCACCTCTCACTTGGAACTTGAGTAAATTTCAATCCAATCAGCACTTCTTATGTGCCTGAAGATTATTTTATCATGGTAGATAGTTTTATGCCAAGTGTCACTTTGTGATGCAATGTGGAAAGCTTTTTTCATGTTCAGGATGATACCAGTAGATCTAATCCATTGGTGTTTTGCAGTTGCCTTTCAAAACATTAAATGCCAAGGTGGTAGCCTTGGTCCTACAGCTCTTAATTTAATAGCAATTGCTTCTTAGCATTTTATGTAATTATTTTCTATTATTGGTTCAAATAAATGCAGGTCAGAATTTTTCAAATTCAGTTTGCCATGATCCCACCTGTGAAATGAGGATGATTGTGACAGGTACCGCCACGAGATTGTTTTCCACAACAACATACTGATTGTGTTTGGTGGGGGGACGAACATGGAGGCATATGGACTCATCAAGCTCCCAGCATATGACCTTCAAAAAAAGAACTGGACAGTGATTGCAACACAGGGTGACGTGGAATGCGGTGGGATGTTCCCTGCCCCAAGACGGTGCCTTTCGTTGACCCACGTCGGCCAGTGTGAGTACAATGGACCTCTCCATTCCATAATTCCTGAGTTTCTTTGTGGTTTATCTGTATTTCTATTTTTTGTAAATAAATTTTTGCAGTCGTATACATCTGTGGTGGGCTGGGGTCTCAGTATGTTGCATACGATGATCTCTGGCAACTCGACCTGACCTCGTTCCGCTGGAGGAGGATGCCCACTGACCTTCCTCAGTCGCTGTACTTCCATTCGGCAGATGTCACTCCAGTCCGACACTCGTCCCTCCTCTCTCGCTGTCTGAATTTTGCAGAGATGATTTTTTTCTTTATTCCTGGAATTGCAGGAAGGGAAGATGTACGTGTTCGGTGGGGTGACCGGAGAGGTGTTCGCTCCCGAGAGAACGAACTCTGTGTATTCGATCTGGTTGAAGATCCCCAGCCTGAAAGAGATGTGCTGGGAGGCTGTTCTCCACTATGCACCTTGGCTGGACAAGGTTCCTTCCCAGAACCTTGTTGAAGCTGGGGTCCCCCAAGACCTGGCAAATCGGGTCGGGGACTTTCTGGCGGACGTCGGCTGACCTCGACCCCGTCGTCCGCCCGCTGCGTGTCTCTCTCCTCCCTACTATTATATTCAGTGTGGGACCCCTAGAGATTCTAAGTCCATATTGCTTTTGCTTTAAATGTCTGTGCTCAACTGCGAAATGAGTCCTTGAATGATGCCTTGGCTCACCCCAAGTCTCAACCATATGTGGAGCGTTTCTCATCATTGCTTCTCATATTCTGCTTTGCAAGTTGACATGTATGAGAAACAAAAGTGATTGAGTTTACTATTGTCATCGGTATAGGTGCACATTCCTGCATTGCCTCGGCCATGTAGGTCGGTCACTGTTATTGGTATGTATCCAAGAACAATTTATTTGCTTGATTTGGAACTTTCTCTTAAAATGTTACTTCATTGTTACCATGAATGGCCGAATTTCATACCCCAGTATCATATGATTTATCGTTTACCTGTGACAGTCAGCCTCACCTTAAGATGTACTCTTCGTCATCCAGAACAATTCTGGAAATACTTTGTGTTCATCAGTTAACCTTGGAAGGAAGACCCTAGAGAGGACAGGTAATGTTGGCAAATGAATGTCTTCAATTAAGGTTTAGTTGAGGATAGTGGAAGATTTTCTTTTTACATCGTAATGGATGGAATGTTTTCTTTGTCTCGCTCCCATCACCACGGGTGTCCTTTGCCATGAATAGATAACCCATGCCTTCCTCTAGCAACCAAAGAACCATACAAAAGACATTTTTGACCAAGTTACCCTGGCTGTTTCCTTTTCCAAATTCACGAATCGCCAATTACCTCTGATACCACACACTGCTACCAAGGTGTGTAGCGGTCTAACAAAAAAAAAAAAATTATAATTTCAGAGCAGGTGACGAAGCACTCCATTCCCAACCGTCAGTGAGGGACAGATGGTGACCGTTTCATGCATTCGATTGGCCCCTCATGGATGATTCAGACTTTCTGTTATCAGACTTCCGTGACATTCACGCTTAAGTGGCTTGTCTGATTTTATGTCAAGGGTGTGACCGTTACGAATGGAACCTCACATACGATAAGGACGCGATTCGAAAGATCGACCTCATCCCGACCCCAGTGTGAAAGGGGGCGGGGGGCAGGTGAGCCAGACATCTGGGCTAGAAACCGACCGAGCCAGGTGTGTTGGGAAGACCAGGACTCTGCTAATCTCAGAGGGGATGGGGTTCAGATAGGGGGAGGAAAGGCTGGGATTCCAGGGCATTCGTGGGCCCCAGGCCCCTCTTTGCCTTGTAGCCTTAAGTGTCGTGTGGATGCTCAGGCGAATGACTTGGGTTTCAGACCTTTCTGGTGAAATCCGATACGGCGGCAGAGATCATCGCTTTCTTGCCTCCCAACTGGAAGTTTGCATCCTCTCCATTTGTTTGGGTTTTCTTTCAAACAAGAGTTGCCTGTATATTGTCGGTTGCACCCCTAAAACTCGTGAGAGCAAGGGGAATGGGGGGTGGCTGGAGGACTTCTCGGGTGGCCGTGTGAGGCACTTCCGGGGTTTTCCGTCCAGTTTGCATTCCGCTCTCGTGGCAGGTTTTTCTCGTTGGCGCGTTTCTGTCTCGTGTCAGTCCTAGCCCCGGACTGACTATTTTCCCTACCTGGAAAATAGGTCTCGCTTGGCCAAGAGCTGCACTCGAAGTGAAAAGCAGGAGTAAACAGGTTTTCCCCAAGTTCCCGTTTTCTTCCTGTTCCAGCCGTTACTTCACACTCTCGATCGTCTATAGAAGTGCTTTATCTTCCTTATACGGCCTCTTATTATCCCCAATGCTCGTGTCCCAGAAAGGGGAAGAATTCCTGCCTAAGTAGGGTATTTTGGAGTGGAAAGGCCAATCGTCCCATTGCCCCCGTTCCCGATTGCCCTCGCTTCGTCGGCAAAGAGCCGATAAATCCCGATGCTTGATTGCTAATTGTGTTAATGCAGGTCCTGACGGCCGGGTATTTATTTACAAGATGAAATGCATCATTCCATTAAAAATATTGCGTTTTTTTCAGGTCGGAGGAAAACGAGAAAAAAAGGGGGGGGGGGAAAGGGCCAGATCCAGATTCCCCCCGACTCTGGAAATCGGCCAGAATCGCGACGGGATCTCATTTAAAACGGCGAGAATTGCAAAATAACGAAAATCGGGGTGAGAAACGTGAAATACAATCCAATTCCGTTCATCCCACGCGAGCTCGGATGGAAAATGGTATCAATTCGATTAAATGGATTCCCATACGAACCCGCGATAAATAAAGGGGGGGAAACGGATTCAAATCCGTCGGATTTCGAATGCATAATTTCCCCATACGGAGTAATCCGATGGGACCATAAATTCAATTCTCTCCGTCCTCCACCTATCGCGGGAAGCCGCCACGACTATATGCACATTCCGATCCCCTAACGGAGAGGGGGTAAGGGGGAAGTTCATCCTCATCCACGATTTCGGATGAATGGGAAATTGGAAGTTCGCGACCTGGGATGTCAGGCTGGAGTCTCGCGAGTCGGATGCGACCTACCGATCCATTTTGTTGGGACCATGCTCGCCCAGAGGTCACTGTGTGGATGGGACCTTGGCATCCGGTCTCATTGTAGCAGATTCTTCCCGATGCCCCCCCCCCCCCTCGACCCGCGAAATTCTTTCAGAAAAATTTTTTTTTTCATAAAACTTCTGCGATTATCGACCCTTTCGAGATTTAATGCGGTCTCCAACCGCTCCTGAACCGTCTGATCAGACTCCCAAACCGAATCGAGTTTGAGAACCCCCCCCCCCCCCCCCCCCCCCCCCCCCCC